TGAGAAAACTCATGGGTTGAGATAAAGACAGTTCAATAGGTAAAGCAAAAGCCGCGCACGCAAGCAAAGCAAAACAAGGAATTAAACCACTCCTTCCCATGGGCAGGCAGGTGTTCAGCCATCCCCAGGAAAGCAGGGCTCCATCACGCGTAACGGTTGCTTGGGAAGACAAACGCCATCACTCCACGCCACCCCCTCTTCTTTCTTCTTCCCCCAGCTTTATATGCTGAGCATGACGTCATATGGTGTGGGATATCCCTTTGGTCAGTTGGGGTCAGCTGTCCCGGCTGTGTCCCCTCCCAACTTCTTGTGCACCCCCAGCCTGCTCGCTGGTGGAGTGGTGTGAGAAACAGAAAAGGCCTTGACTCTGTGTCAGCACTGCTCAGCAGTAACTAAAACATCCCTGTGTTATCAACACTGTTTCCAGCACAAATCCAAAACACAGCCCCATACTAGCTACTGTGAAGAAAATTAACTCTACCCCAGCCAAAACCAGCACATTCGCAGGACAAGTTTTCAGGACAGTCTTTCTGTGTGATTTCTCTTAGGAAGGAATAAGTGATGGCATGTTTTGCTTGGGAGCATAAGCTAATTTCATTAGGGCGTTTTTATATCACCTTCCTCTCCCCATGCACCCGAAGAAAATTCTTTCTGAAAACATGCCTGAATGTACATCTGCTGCATAGAGGTTTGAGCTGTAATAGTTTCTTCTGCTATTTTATAATGTCAGTGGTCCATGTTAATAAAAACCAGGTAAATGTTAACCTGTAGGCAATCATATTTGTTGTTTCTTGCAGGTTCTAAAATCTAAAGAATTATCATCACCAGGACAGCGCTACATCGACAGCAAAGTAGTTAAAACAAGAGCTGAAGGAGAATGGTTATCTTTTGATGTCACTGAGGCTGTACATGAGTGGCTCCATCACAGAGGTGACAGCAAGTGCTCTTTGCCTTCACTCCTGCCCCAGTTGCTCCTCCATTAACTCAGCAGTATTTCAGGGTCATTCCATCTGTAAAAAACAACTCCACTTACTTTTATGTTTTGCAGACAGGAACCTTGGATTTAAGATAAGCTTACATTGTCCGTGCTGCACCTTCGTGCCTTCCAATAATTATATCATCCCAAATAAAAGTGAGGAGCTTGAAGCAAGATTTGCAGGTAACAAAAGAAAAAAAAAACCCTTTTTAAAATGTTGTGGTACTTAGTTATTGAGGAGGGAAACAAAGAGCTGTTACTGCCTCTCTAAATGGCATTCAGCTGACTGAAAACTTGCTCATTTGAGAATCTTGATTCTCAGCTGGTAGGAAATTGTATCGAAGGCAAAAAGGTAAAACTGTATCAGCTGAACTATCCTAAAACCAGATGGCATGAATAAGCCATCTCATTCCATGCATGCAGCTCTGATGTCCTGAAGTGTCTGTGTTACAGTTTGCAGCATGCACACCGGATAGACATACAATTTTGGATGTAGGGAAGACTGTTGCATGGTAGACCATCCACTGTTGGATAGTAATGAGAAAACTTACTGAATATTTTCAAAACAAATCCTTTGACTGCTGTCCATCCTAGCATTGTAACAGTTCAGGCTTAGTAGAGAAGACTACTGCTAGAAAGTAGAATTAGGATGGTGTTTGGCACGCATGTAAGCTGCTTGCAGTAGATATGTGTGTGAGTATGATGCACTTTATGAGTGTTAAACAATACTTGTTGTGGCAAATTTCCAAAGTATAGGTAAGGCAACAGTTGGCTGCTTTGCTTATAGAAGGACCTTCCTTTGTCCTCACTGATTATAGAGGGTCCCAGTCTTTGTAAGTACCTGCACACGTACTTCCAGCTCTTCAGGCACATTTAATAACTCCAGCTACTCTTTTTTTTTTCCTTTTTCCTTTCTTTTTTCTGGTCCTATCAGTAATATTGTAAATTACTCTGAGCAATGGTATCAGTCACTTTGGGAAGAGCTGAACAACAGGTGCCAGACTTGTATAAATGTCCTACAGTGTTTTACTGCCAGTGCGTAGTGGGTTGAAGAAACAGCAATGCTGTGCTTGTCTGTGTGCTCCTACTTCCAGCAGTGGAAGTCTGATTCTCAGCTGAAGTCAACAGAACTACATTAGTTAACATTGATTATTTCTATATATCCACACTGGCACGTAGAATTTATTGTAACATGTTTGTATATTAGTTACACAAATTATTTTTTATGCTGACAGTTAGCTTGGTAAAAACTTAAAGATTGGATTGAGTAGGCATCAAAAAATAAACAACAGTGTGTAGTTAGGGTTATGGATATATGTGCTTCTTATGGACAGCAGACAAGGTGATATAGAGTAAATATATCAAGGTCACATAAGCTCCTTTGTGTTTTTAAGCCATTAAAGTTTCAGTTTCAAAAAGGGAAATGTTATTTAATTGACCGTGCTATAGTTATCATCCACCAGTACATATCAAACTATGGTTATATTAGAACCAACCCAAATTCTGTTTATACAGTTCTCATTTATTAAAGTATATCATGATTTGGTTAATTTGTTTTCCAAGGATTTGGCTATATTCCTTGTCAAGTATTAAGTTTTTCTAACTGTTGTTTCACTATGTTGAAATGTTTTCTCTAAGTAAATATATGTACTGTCCATATGATTAAAGCCATTGTGTGTATTTAAAAAATAGTTAGTATGATATTTGGTCACTGTAATTGCAGATGTTACAAAAAGAAAAGTGTATCTTTCTCTCTTTAGATAGTATTTTCTGGTTCAAGGGGTTAATTTTCAAAAGGGTCTTAGCAACCGGCATAACATGAACTGTTTGGACTCCTAGGAAAGGCTCCTTGAGTCTTTTGCCTGTGCTATTGCCATGATAAGAAACTAGTAAGGCAGTTAGTGTTTCAAGAGAAAATACAAAATGTGGTGTCATTGCTTGCCACTTCAAGAAGAAATGTTTTGATTAATGTCCTTGCCATGCCCATACAAAAGAAGGGGCTAGAATAACTTACTTTCTGGGAAGAATTAGCAGACTTAAATAAACTGGCAATGGGAGACAGAGAATTTACAAGCATTAGAAAGAGGTAAATGTGACAGAGAAAACTAATGGGATGGAAGTAAGCAGTGGGAAATGCAGGTTAAGTATTCAGAGCAGCTTTAATGGTGTTACAAGGTTTTAAAAGGTACATAGCTGTTAAAAGATGAGAGTACTGCCATAAGTGAAGTGACAAAAGCATCACTGCTTGGGGCATTTGAAACTAAGCAATGCAGATGCAGTGGCTGAAGTAATCTTCTCTGTTACTCATTTCAACAGTTCTGCTAAATGTACTGAAATGCCATTAAATGGCTTTGAGTGTGGGAGGGCTGATACAATGGATAACATGAGAACTGTGAATATCTTGGGGATCTTGGGTTCAAATTTGTCCCCACTTCCCCAGTAAACATGCTCAGCTGACACCATCATTGCCCAGTTTCTAAGAGAACTTTTTTTAAAGAGATGGTTTGTTTAATTTGTGAAGAAAAAGCAACACAATGTTTATCACCAAAATGTATTTTTTGAAGGTATTGATGACTACACATATTCCAGTGGTGATGTGAAAGCTTTAAAGTCCAATAGGAAAAAATACAGTGGGAAGACCCCACATCTTCTGCTAATGTTATTACCCTCCTACAGACTTGAGTCGCAACAGCCCAGTCGGCGGAAGAAGCGTGCTCTAGATGCTGCCTATTGTTTTAGGTAACTATGCATCTGTATTCAGTATACTTACATAGTAGTACCAGCCTGTGAGGTGTAATGCAGTTGCTTATCATGTTTCTTTACGGTTGGCATTTATACAGAGCGCGGATCCTCATTCACAGACCCACGGGGTCTCTGTGCAGCAGATATCTGCCCAGTGGTCTCCAGTCCCGCAGACACAGTGGCAGATGAGAAGGGTTGTGGCCTTAGAAAGCAGAAGCTGAGTTCCATCTGGGATGATTCCCAGACCCATCAGCCCCATAATTACAGCCAAATTTTCACCTCCACTGTGCTCACCTACTCAGAGAGGCCACTCGGTAGGACCTGGAGAAAAATACTTACTAGTCCTCCAGGGAAACCATTAGCTTTGTCTGTATAAGCAAGTCCTGCCATGTCTAAGCATCTGATTTCAGTTACAGTATAAGCTACTATTGATGTGACTTGGTTGTGAATTTTTGGTACTTGGGCTTGCCTGCCTGTAAAGTATCATTCAGGGAGCAAGCAACTGGATTATTTTTATTCCCTGTGTTGTCTTTGTTATGATTGATGTGTTTGTCTGTATTTTATTTCCCAGGAACGTGCAGGATAATTGCTGTCTGCGTCCACTTTATATTGACTTCAAGAGGGACCTTGGCTGGAAATGGATTCATGAACCTAAAGGATATCATGCTAATTTCTGTGCAGGAGCCTGCCCATATTTATGGAGCTCAGATACTCAGCACAGCAGAGTAAGTAATGATTTTGCTAATTTTCAGCTTCTATTTTATAACTGCAGGGTGAAATATGTTTCTAGGAGTGACATCAGCACGAATGACCAAAGCTTGTATTTATTATCTCAATAACTAAGGATGAAATGTGGCCCTATAGAGGGACTCACACATGGCCTCAAGCTAGTGTTGAAGTAGTAGGAATGTATTGGCCCAGGGATTATTTTTTTTTAACATGTTCATCGATACAACATATGGAAGGATTGAATGCTTTTTGTGAGTGTGAGCTTGGTATAGCTTTGGGAGGCTGCCTGGGAAGGGACCTTTCATTATAGAGTGTGAGCGGAATGAGTGAACAGTGAGTTCGGTGCAGTAAAGGCACTGAGGGAGGCACTATCAGAGTAACAAAAGGGCTGAGTCATAACACCTGATGATTATCACCTACTTTTATGACCTGCCATTTTTCATTTTTCATTGTTACTGATATGCTACCATGCTGAATTTCATGAAAATGAAAGGAGGAGTATTGAGAAGGATTACAGAGCCGTGGGAGCGGCGGTAAGGGACTCTGGAGCACAGGCAGTTTTTTCATCAATCCTCCTGGTCAAAGGGAAGGGGTTTGAAAGGGCCAGTTGAATCTGGCGAATCAACAAATTCGTTACGGGTTGGTGCCACAGAACGGGGGTTAGGCTACTTAGACCATGGGACTCGCTTTGAGAAACGTGGTCTACTGGGGGCTGATGGGATCCATCTGTCAGAGAAGGGGAAGAGCATCTTCGGTCATAGGCTTGCCAAGCTGGTGAAGGGGGCTTTAAACTAAAATTGCCGAGGGAGAGGAACCTCAATCCA